GGGTCGCGAGTCCCCGGGTTGTTCCCCTTTTTGTGTTTGCGAGTTGGAGTAGTGAGTCATAGGGTATGAATTAGTGGGTTGGAAGCCAGACTCACTCATGAAGTTACTCGGCTAGTCAATGCCATGACTCTGCGAGTTCACGGCAATCTTCTTGTCTTAAGAACAACTCGACGAGTTGTTCATACAACTCGGCGAGTCACAGCTTAGAGTGTTCTTCGGATGAAGGAAAACTCGGTGAGTTGTTCATACAACTCGACGACTAGGATGAAGGACTATTGTACTTGGGTATAGAGATAGGGACTCGATGAGTTGGCAAGCCAACTCGGCGAGTCTGGTCAACTGGAAGTTGACTGTGACTTGACTCATGACTTGTTAAGGGTAAATGGAGAATTTACCCTGAGGGTGGTTAGCAGTATTTGACTAAGTGTTTGGTGGGAATTACAGCCGGAGGATTTCCTGAGCAGCAGTAGCAGTCAGTCAGACCATTCCTACACAGATCAGCAGCTACTACGAGGTGAGTTACCTTCCAGTAGCGGTGGGTCTAAGGCCACAATGTCGGCCCACCGGTAGGAGATGTATGTAAGATGATTGTCTTTGTGATATCATCTAGGTTTGCTACTACCTGATATGTTATATGCTAGCATGATATGTTGTATGTGATAAGTAGTAGAGTTCGGTTGGTAGGACCAAAGGGTAGTCAGACACCCCAGATACGTCTGATAGTATATGATGATATGTTTGCATGCTGGCTTTTTACGTCATATGCGATAGAGGTAGTAGGAGGGGACTAGTCCCCGAGTTCGGTTGCTAGGACCGAAGGGTAGTTCAGGCACCCCATATATGTCTGATAATATGTTATGTTATGATATATGTGATAGTAGCAGTAGGGGGTGAAATAGTCCTTGAGGTTCGGTCGTCAGGACCGAAGGGTAGTCAGCACCCCAGAATGGCTTGACATGGGTATTCAGCACCCTAGAATGACTTGACATGGGTATGTCGGCACCCCAGAATGGTCGTACCGGGTAGGTCGGGCACCCCAGAAATGTCTGACAATATGTATGATATGTGATTGTATGGTATGCGGTATGATGGGGGAACTCACTAAGCTTTGTGCTTACAGTTTTCAGTTTTGGTTTCAGGTAGCTCTTCTTCGAAGGGGAAAGAGCTGGCGCGGTAGCGGCCCATCACACACATGCTCCGTATTCCGCATCATGAGATCTTCCTGGGGATTTGTACTCTAACATTATTATGTTTTATGAAATGTTTTCCACACATGAGATATCTTTATAAATGTTATGATCAGTAAACGTTTTAATTCGAATGTTTTGCTAAATATATGTTTTCAAAAACGAAATTTTTGGGGTGTTACACTAGGAGATTTCTACAGCAGCGATGTACGAGATTTTTGGATTATATCTCAGATACGAGGATTGAGACCACAACAGATGTGGGCAGTGTGCCGGTTGTATAGAATTTTGGGATGTTATTCCTGAAGAGTTACCAGGAGTGCCTCCGGAGAGGCAAGTGGAGTTTCGCATCGATTTTGTGACGGGTTTCGCTCCAATAGAAAAGGCACCATGTGGATTGGCACTGCCTGAGATGCAGGAGTTATCTATGTAACTTCCGCAGATGCTAGACCAAGCGTTTATCCCTCTGAGCAGTTCCCCGTGGGGAGCACCGATCCTATTCGTGAAAAAAGAAGGATGGATCACACAGGATGTGCATCGATTATAGAGAGCTGAACAAACTAACGGTGAAGAACTGTTATTTGTTGTAGGGGATCGATGATTTGTTTGAATAGCTGCAGGGTGCGTCTTGGTTTTCGAAGATTGAACTTCAGTCGGGGTACCATCAAATGAGGATTCGGGATGAGGATGTACCGAAGACAGCTTTCACGACTCGGTATGGGCATTATGAGTTTGTGGTGATGCTGCTTGGGCTCACCAATGCCCTAGTAGCGTTCATGGATCTAATGAACAAGGTTTGTAGACCAATATTGGATCGGTCGGTGATCGTTTTTATCGATGATATCCTGGTCTATTCTAAGACCAAGGAGCAGTATGAGCAACATTTAAGGGAGGTATTCGAGACCTTGAGTGCGGAGAAGCTTTATTCAAAGTTCTCTAAGTGTGATTTTTGGCAGCGAGAAATACAGTTTTTGGGGCATATCATCAATCAGGAGGGTATTTCGGTTGATCCAGCCAAAGTTAAGGTTGTGATGTGGTGGTAAGTACCAAAAATGCATTAGAGATTCGTAGCTTCTTGGGTTTAGCAGGCTATTATCCAAGATTTCTCCAAGATTTTTGTGTCATTGACCCGCTTTCCCAAGAAGAATGTGACCTTTCGGTGGGGCACGGATCATCAGATGGCTTTTGAGACCCTGAGACGGAGGCTATGTGAGGTGTCGATCCTAGTACTACCTAAGTGGTTAGACGATTTGGTGGTGTACTGTGATGCATCAATTTCAGGGTTTGGTGTGATTCTGATGTAGAGGGGGCACGTGATAGCTTACGCCTCGAGGCAATTGAAGCCTCATGAGGCGAATTACCCCACTCATGACCTGGAACTAGGGGCAGTGGTGTTTACCCTCGAGATTTGGAGGCACTATTTGTATGGAGTGTGGTGCACCATTTATACTGATCACAAGAGTTTAAAGTATTTGATGGATCAGCAGATGTGACATCCCCATTTTCACGACCAGGAAAGACCGATTTTGTTTATTCTTTATAAAAATCAGAGTACCCCTTTTAATAAAAATGTTGCAGAATTTGTTCCAAGTAAAACATGATAAATACGTTATCAAAGCATTTCCGAAGAAAAGTATTTTTATTCATTTTAAAACATTTCGGATATCATCGTCAATACAGAAACATAAGCAAAACAGAACTTACATTCATTATCACTAGTGATTTATATCTCCGTAATCTCTCAGTGTAATGTGACTTCATATCAACACCTGTGCTATAAATAAACTGAGTGGGTCAGGTTGTGAAACTTGCTGAGTACATATGGTTTTCAACCCATGATAATATAATTCTTATGTTTAATAATCAAACGGTTAACCCGATTACCCAGCCCCATTATCTTCTTTACTCTTAAGGATCTACCCTAAGAATCAGCTATTTCTCATTCATTCATTCTTAAGGATTATCCTAAGGAATAGGTACAAAGTCCATCGTTGTCAATGACACAGCTATCAGGCACAGCTGCTAGTTCTATCACTTTAGGCGCACCTGCTGGAATTGTGACATTTTCTATGAGCCGCAGCTGCTGATATTGTCCTTCAGGCACAGCTGCTAGGGTTATCTCGTTTATTGACAATATTGTTTTCGAGATTCCACTTGCAATACATGTCAATGGGTATTTAGAGTACACCGGTGGACACATCGTTCACAACACCTACAGGTTGCGAGCCTGGTAGTGTTCCACTGGACTGTCCAGAATAGTCTGTAGATCCGAACAAATAATATCATATATGGCAACATATAACATGTAGCACATAAAAGCATTTTAGACAGCTTCCTAAAATATACTAGTGCTCGTGTCCATAATATCACAGACACTCATCTCACAATCTTCACTTAGCATTCTAAGTTTAAGCCTAGAAATCCTACAAATTCCTAGCTCGCTTAAACTAATGCTCTGATACAAACTGTGACATCCCCAAAATCTCGCCCTGAAAAGACCGGTTTCATTTATGCTTTTTAAACATTTTCAGAGTAAATCCTTTTGATTTTAAAAGAGATGCGGAATTTGTTCCCAAAAACAAAACATGGTAAAATAGATTTTTATCAAAACCTTTCATAAAGAAATATAATTTCATTTCATAATCAAAAATCGGGATGTCATGTTCCGATACAGACCATAAAGCATAAACGATAACATTACAAGTCATTTAACAAATATATACATATACAGACTTGTAAACAAAACAACTTGATGATTCATTCATCTTATGCCCTTGTGCCACTTCCTGTAATACAAATAAACTGAGTGGGTCAGGCTTGGGGGCCTGGTGAGCATATAGGGTTTTCAACCCACAATAAATAATTATATTTAATTCAATAATCAACAATCAAAAATAACCCGATTACTCATTCACATTATCCTCACTTTACGTCCCTAAAATAACATCTATCTCAAGGGATCTAATCTAGGATTTTCATCGGGACGGACATTACTGCAGAGGGGCTTTCTCAACAATAAGTGTCCTAAAGGAAACCATGTGGGGGATAGAGTACACCGGTGAACACATCGTTCACAACACCTACAGGTTATGAGCTTGCTAGCGTTCAACAAGACTGTCTAGAATAGTATGTGGTTGTCATCCATACTCTGCTGAATGACTAGAATAACACACTACTAGAAAAACAACCTTTTACGATGCGCAATTTATGATACGCATTGATTCACGATACGCAAACGAGTGTGATCTAAAAATAATGTCATCTCTCTATAAATTTTAAGGATTTAGGGCGCGCATTTTTGCGTACCCTTAAATTAGTGTCTAAAAAAAACATGGAGGGCGCCTATAATAAAACGTGTGTCATCTGAGGATGTCGCTTTATAAATTTAAATGGAAACGCGCCTTCCATCCTTTAGTAGTTGAGGGGGAAAATGAAATCCTAAAAAATTAAAATCCCCGCCTTCCTTTTTGTTCCTTTCCCTCTTGCCCTAATTATCGACGCTCCTTCCTTCCCCCTGCCGACATTCATTGCCACCTACTTCTTCCCTCACACTTCGACCATCGTTACTTGCCATTCCCGGTCGTCGACGTCGATCAAGGAAAGCACGCCACCAGCCGACAACCTTCAATCTCTCCTTCTCATTTTCTTTGTACACCCTAATCCGTATATGGTTTCCAGTCGTTTCCCCAAAGGAGACAGATTTGATCCAATCGTTTCCCCAAAGGAAACAGATTTGAACCTTCTTGATGACTATCAAGAATTCTTTGATGATCGATTGGTTCAAGACTTTGACTATTGAATGAAAAATGCATAATGGACACAGACCTTCTTGTTCAACTATGGTTTCCAGTAATTAGACAAGGTAAACATGGGGCCCATGTGAAGGAAGATCCGAGCCCATTTATGTGATTGAATCCGCTTCGTATGTGTTCGATCCAGAGATTTTAGGGTTCTTTGAGGCGACCTCAACCCAGCAGCTCGTATCGGGAGAAGGTATTGCTGGTAAAGCGTTGGGTACAAACCAGCAGCTCGCAGGTTGTCCATCATCAGCCACACACCGTGTTTTATAGGCCACAAAGACTTGGAGTAGATGAAATTGAAATCGAAATTGATATTATCTAGCTGAATCGATATCGATTTGACTCCAAATTGCAGTCAATCGAAGGATTATTTGGTAAGGTGCACTCTTCTGTATTGTAAAAATTGCTCTTCTTTCTCCTTTATTCATGCCTCTGATTTCGATTTTGATTCTTCTTGTATTCTCCTCTGTAAAACCCTAACTGGAAAGGCGATACAGATATTAATCGTGATTTCCTCGATCCTCTTTCCTTGATCCCCAATTCTACACTCTAAGCATCTCAGGTACGCTCCATTCCATCTCCCTTATTCTTTTTTTTATGTCTCAGGTGAGACATCCATCTCCCGTACTTTTTTGCTTCTTAATCCCATTATGATAGTTGTTCACAGTCGCACACATCACCACACACACATCCACATGTTTACTATTTTGATTCTTTCTGTCTATTTTCACTGATAAGTTAGGGTTTTGGTCTCTTTGTTATGGACTATGAATGGTGAATGATGCCTACTCCTACATTTAATAATAGTAATACTAATCAGTATTACATGAAAACAGATATGTCCAACAATGTTGTTGGGCTATCGACTATTGACTCAACAATGGTATCTCATCCACTAAACCAGAAGCACCAAGTTGGTGGCCAGAATAGTCACATATTGCATAGCCTTGGGAGCCATATGGGTGGGGGAATCAGGTCTACTTTACAACACAAAGCTTATGGATTTTCAAATGTCACAGAGAAAATGAGACACCTTCTCATTATGGGACTGTTCTGAATGTCCATCAACAACAGATGTCACAGGGTACTCTCTCTCTCTCTCTCTCTCTCTCTGCTTTTGTCACTGTAGTATCCTCTTTAATGTTGATGGGGTACTTAATACGTATACTTTGCAGGTGATGGTTATGGGAGTAGCACCACTGATTCTTCTCGAACCGGAAACTTTTATGTTCCCACAACCTCAAATACATCAATGATGAATAATCAAAGTTCCTCTCAAAGTTCCTGCATCAGGTTATTCCTTTAGAAAGGAAATTGTTAAAGGAGAACTTTTTAATTTTTTTTTAAAATATGATTTAAATGTTTGGCTTGTTACATGTTTGTGCAGTGCATTTTTCGCAAGTCAAAAGAATGCAAAGAGTGGCATAAAATATTAATGGATTGAAATAATGTTGATGGGGCGGATAGTGCTAAAGATTCAGGGAGCTCTCAGCCTTATCCCTCTACTTTACTCGGCATTCCAGAGGCAATATTCAGTTTCTTATATATATATATATATATATATATATATATATATATATATACATATATATATATATATATATATATATATATATATATATATATATATATATATGTATGAGTATGATTGTTGGTTTTTGTATGTTGATACAGGGCAGTGCAAGAAAATCATTTCAACGGTTGCAGGGACCAATGGAAGAGTCTAAACAAATGATTGTTCTTGGTATGTATTTGCATTGTTGGTGATTCAAGCAAGTTTTTGATGAGCCTGAGACCTGTAAATCGTCCTTCTAAGTGTAAAAATTACTAGAGTGTATGTAACCTCATAATTTGTTGTATTTTCAGATTTTTGCAAACTGTCTTGATGTATCTACACTGGATGATGGTGATGAAACTAAACTCAGGGTGTTAGGGAACAGTTCTGAATGCAATAACAATTGCATCCAGATCATCTGCAACCCCAACAAAGGCCTGAAGACAGTTCTCAACATCAACAATCAGCTCTAATACTTCAAAACCCTGATTCAAGATAACAACAAAATCAGCATAATTTGAAAAATACTGTTTTTCAGTTTTCATATAAACTGTGCCAAGTACCGTGGTAAGGGCATCACATCTTGAACAAGTCCAAGTAAAAATGTTAAATTTGACATGTAAACCTGCATAGTTTATTATTAATTCTTCTACTTAACTTAATTACTCCATAATGTCTCACGATATCATGTTCATCTTACTGCAGAAGCATATTCCACCAGAATTGTGGCGAGTGTGTGATTGTAAAGTGGTGAGGGAACCTTATTCTTGATTTCAAGTCCTGTATCCATAAAACAACCCTAATAAATAAGTAAATGGGACATTCTTCAGAGCTGTTTCAAAGGTAAGTCTGCAAAGAAATTAAAAAAAAAAAATATATGTGGGTTTCAAAATTATTATGATTCAGATCATATAATAACTGAATAGAAACTTTAGCTTGTGGAAGTACAAATCCCATTCTTCAAGCTTTGATGGTGACAATCTCCAATCATATGGAATAGCAAGAATATCATTTGCCTCAATCCCAAATTCAATGCACCATTCTTTCCATACTGATGAAAGAGGACCTGATAATCAAGAATTCACTTTCAGGGACTATATGTTACAACTTACATATAACGTATAAGTGTGTGTGTTTATGTATATACAGATGGAGAGATGAAAAGAATGTTACCTGTTATATAACATGGGTCAAGTTCTGTGATAGCTGAAAGGCCACTATCTGGACGTGACTTACACTCCGGATGAACCGATGTTTATTTTGTTATATAAAAAATTAATCTTTTAAAGTAATTATGTTGATGATTAATTAATTAAATATTGTAACAGGAATGACAAGGGGGACACACTGACTGCATTATACTACCACATTGTTAAGTCGTTGACCAACACAACTGTAAGTGCATTATACTACCCTGTAAGCCCTTTGTGACTTCTGTTGCAAATCCTTTATTCAGTTATCTTTTCATGGTAAAAGGTAAAAGCCTCATGCCAGTTTCACATAAAACTTTCTGAAAAGATGAGGTTTATTTAACTTATTAGTTTCTTAGTTGTGCATATACTTGTAGGTTTTGTTGAAAAAAGCAATACCTTTGTGCTTCCCTGCTTGTTGCCATCCATGGCTGTTATGTGAATCTTTGTTGGGTACTTGCATATTGAATAAAAAAATACAACCATATCGGATTCACATAATAGTTTGTGATAAAGATAAAAAGGAGTTAATTTTGCATTTTTTTGTAGCATAGTCAGTCACCTTACTGTCAGATTTAATTTGGAAATATGTGGTGTAGTTTGCAGAAAGAACAGCACATGGATGACCCTTGCAGCTCGGTAAGTCCCTATGATTTCCTAAAAACTTTTCATCCTTTTCTAGTTCTTACAATGAGTGATATCCTTAATAGGTTCCAGAAATACTAAAATTGTGTTTTGTGTATGTAGGTTTGTTGTTGTGATCCAAACACCATGGTCCAGTCCTTGTGATTGCCCTCAACATTGCATTCTTGCAAGCAGTAGTCCCACACTTGGCTTAAATCTAATTGGAGAAGGAACAAAATCCCAATTCCGGATTGCTAGGGCCCACTTTTGTAGGTAGGTAATCATAATCATATAGTTTGTTTTGTTGGTAAACAATGAGTTGTAATAATATTTGCAGTTCCTCTGTCCTGGAATTAGGAAGCGATCCGGTGTACTCAATTGAACGCCTTCGCGAAGAGAATGATGCGGTTATTTTAGCAGTTCGGGCAACAAAGCCACGAGACCTACCTGTTCCAGGACGTGAGCTCTCAGGTGTGCATTTTGCAATGGAATTTCTACATGCGAATACTAAAAGCTTATTGGATAGCAATCTTGAAGATGGAAACTATATGAGAGGAACCAAACATAGCGCATTGTACTCTCATTTATTTTCTAACTATAACAATATACTTCCATTTTCTTAATAACAATGTACAATCGGATCCCCTTAGTCGTTCGAACGATTATTTGTATGGCATTAAATTTATTCAATGGATTCTATTTTTTGTATATGATATTTTATTTTTTATTATGAAACATTAAATACAAATTTAATTTGAAAATAAGTAAATCCATAAATATTTTTTTTTTAACATTTACAATTATGATACGCAAAAATGTGTGTCATCTTCATTTATGACATCCTTTCTTGACAGGGGCTTTCTTGATATGCAATGTGTGTCATTAACACGCGCGTCGTAAGGTTACGACACGCGAATGCGTGTCGTCTTCCTTTATGACAGGGCCTTTCTTGATACGCATTGCGTGTCGTAAACGCGCGTCATAATTGCGCGTCGTAAATGAGCGTCGTAAATGCGCGTCGTCTCTCTTTATGACAGGGCCTTCCTTGACGCGCATTTGCGCGTCGTCTGAGCCTTTTACGACGCGCAATGAGCGTCGTAAAAGGCTGTTTTTCTAGTAGTGACAGCAACAATGAGGCCTCTCATCAATTTATTTCATTGCGCACCAACTGTCTACCCATGTTCTACCCAACATATTAGTAGATAAAAACATACATGTTTTATACATAATTTTAAAAAAAAAAAAAAAAAAAAAAAAAAAAAAAAAAAAAAAAAAGAACAACTGTATAACATGGTCTTTCAATACTCCATCCAAATAGCAAGTAATACGTAAACACGTAACAAGAAATTTCAAGGAGAGTCATATAAGTCTATGTGTTAGAAGGTAATATTAATACCTCACGTAACCCATATTCTTAAATACATTCAACGATTACTTGTATGATATCGTGTATTTGAAAGGGACTATACACTCACTTGATCAGAAGATGATCAGAAAGCACTACAACTTGCAGAAGTAGTATTCTTCAGTAGATCTGGAAGATCTTCACAAAAACCGGGCTCCTCGCGGGCAGAGCTTCGACTCGGGATTCTCACTTCTCGGGATCCTCGGGGCTTCGGGACTCGGGAATGATACCGGAGCTTCGGGATATAATTGGCATGCAAAACGATGCAAAACTTAGAGAGAAAGGAAGAAAAAATGGCAACAAAAATGGATGATATCGGTTTCTATTTATAGGCTGTTGGGTCTGGTATTATGTTGGGCGTAATTTCCAAGTACGTTGGGCATACTCAGTACGCTGGGCGTAATCTTGGTTACACTGGGCGTACACTTCGGATAAGCTTTGGTATGTGTGCCACGATCTTCAAAAATTCATAACTTTCGCATACGAGCTCCGTTTTCGATGTTCTTTATATCCACACGTAGGTTAGATTATGTTCTACAACTTTCGTTTAGACTCCGTCGGCTAATTTTGAATTTATTTTTTATTATTTATTTTTAGTAGGTCGGGACAGAAAAACTTCGTTAGAAATTCATAACTTCTTCGTCTGGCATCCGTTTTTGTCCCTATTTCTGTCGTTCCACTACCATCAACGAGATCTTCGATTCTCATTTAGAATGTTTCAGCTAAAACTCGCTCGATCTCAATTCGAACTATTGGGTTGTCTACTACTAAGCTGAAACTTCGAAAAATCATAACTTCCTCGTACGAAGTTAGATTTAGGCGTTCTTTTTTATGCACGCTCTCGGTTGAATATTATCTACGTCTTTCGTGTTGATCACTAAGGCTAAATATCACTCCTTCGTAAATTCACTATTTACATCACGCTGTGCCACACCGGTTTTGTCGCGAAGCTTCGACAGGTCATAACTTCTTCGTTATAACTCGGATTTCGGCATTCTTTATATTTTCGGAAACCTCATCTCTACTACTACATCTTCGTGCATCAATATCGGGTTTATATAACATTTCATTTTTACGCTTATGTTTATTCTTGATTAAATCAAATCACATAATTAAGCAGATAAGTATAAAACACATAATTCACAAATAATACATTCTGATTATTTCAAATTGGGTTACAAAGGTTAACCTAGACTACTACATTGCTAAAAATGGCAAGCCCAGAAACACGGGCGTTACAAATTTCTAGGCTTTGCTGGTTATTATCTAAGGTTCATTCAAAACTTCTCCAGCATCGCAAAGCCTATTACCTCCCTAACTCAGAAAGGTGTGACCTACAACTGGGGAGAAAAGCGAGATGCCGCATTTCGGACTCCGAAACAGGCCCTATGCAGTGCACCCATTCTTTCTCTTCCAAAGGGGATCGAAGATTTTGTGGTGTATTACAATGCTTTGAATCAAAGGTTGGGATGTGTGCTAATGCAACGAGGAAAGGTTATTGCGTATGCCTCCCGACAACTGAAAACACACGAAGTCAACTACACCACTCATGACTTAGAACTTGGAGCTATGGTCTTCGCTCTAAAAACCTGGAAGCACTACCTATATGGTACCAAGTGCATCATCTTCACAGACCACAACAGCCTTCAATATATATTCTACCAGAAGGAGTTAAACATGAGACAACAACGTTGGGTCGAATTGCTCAATGACTACGAATGTGAGGTTCGTTACCATCCCGGAAAGGCGGATGTAGTGGTTGATGCCCTTAGTCGTAAGGAGTACTCTGGTCGAAGAGTGAAGTCGTTAACCATATAAATCCATTCGCACCTGTCAACACAAATCAAGGAAGCTCAAATAGAAGCCTTGAAACCTGAAAATGTGACAGGTGAAACCCTTAGAGCGATGGACAAGAATTTAGATATCAAAAGTGACGGAGTGCGCTACCTCATGAACCGAATCCGGACACCAAAGTTTGGTGGGTTCAGGGATATAGTTATGAACGAAGCACACAAGACTCCATACTCCGTACACCCAGGTTCAGATAAGATGTATCTGGATCTTAAACAGCTCTACTGGTGGCCAAACATGAAAGCAGAAATTGCTACCTATGTGAGCAAGTGCTTGACTTGCACCAAGATAAAAGTAGAACACCAGAAGCCCTCAGGTCTACTCCATCAACCCGAAATACCTGAGTGGAAATGGGAACAAATTTCCATGAACTTCATAACAAAACTACCCAAGACTCAGGGTGGACATGATACCATTTGGGTGATCATCGACAGACTAACCAAGTCTTCTCATTTCTTACCAATCAAGGAAAGTGATAAAATGCAAAGGCTAACAAGAACCTACATCCGAGAGATCGTGCGACTTCATGGAGTGCCGATGTCTATCATATCGGATAGGGACAGTAGATTCACTTCCAGATTCTGGCAATCGTTGCAAAAATCCATGGGAACAAGGTTAGATATGAGTATAGCCTACCACCCACAAACTGATGGACAGATTGAGAGAACGATCCAAACTCTAGAAGACATGTTGCGAGCATGTGTGATCGACTTTGGTAAAGCGTGGGATGTTCACTTACCATTAGTCGAGTTCTCTTACAACAACAGTTATCATACTAGTATCAAGACTGCTCCATTTGAAGCCCTTTACGGCCGTAAGTGCATATCACCTCTGTGCTGGATGGAAGTGGGCGACACGCAGTTAGCAAAAGGTCTAGTCCCTGATAGCACTCTCACCGGTCCGGAGATCATTAGGGAAACAACTGAAAAGATCGTCTAGATTAGAGAACGTTTGAAAACCTCTAGGGATAGGCAAAAGAGCTATGCCGACAAAAGACGAAAACCCTTGGAATTCTAGGTTGGTGACCGCGTTCTACTGAAGGTCTCACCCTAGAAAGGCATGATACGCATTGGGAAGCGTGGAAAACTAAATCCAAGGTACATTGGACCCTTTGAAATTACTTCAAGGATTGGTCCAATGGCCTACAAACTTCAACTTCCAGTCGAGCTTAACAAAGTTCATCCAGTGTTCCACATATCGAACCTGAAAAAGTGTTTGTCTGATGAAACTCTTATGATTCCACACGGCGAAATCAAACTTAACGAAAATCTTAACTTTGTGGAAGAACCCGTCGAGATCATGGATAGGGAAATCAAACGAACTAAACAGAGTCGCATACCAATAGTGAAGGTTCGTTGGAACGCTAAGCGCGGACCTGAATTCACTTGGGAGCGAGAAGATCAGATGCAAAAAAAGTACCCTCATATCTTCCCTAGTCCATTGGCACTTCTTTTGTAATTAATTTTGGGATGAAATTTCCTCTAACGGGGGGATTATGTAACAACCCGTTATTTCAGGTCAATGTAATGTCTAAAAATCGAGTCTTGTTATCTCTTTGTGAAGTAATAAGAATATCATCAAAAATGAAATGTTTAAAAAGCTCTTTTTGAGTACACTATGTGGTAGATATCATGATAAGATTTCCAAAAATATAAAGAACACTAAAATCCGAGTTATAACGAAGGAGTTATGATGAATCAAAGATTCGCAACACTACCGGTAAAGCGTTGCTAAACATAAAACGAAGAAATTTCAGTAAAATACTTTTTAGCCTTAGGTATCTAAATGAAAGTCATAGATATCAATAAAATGCAAACATACATAAAAAGAACACCCAAATCTGACTTCGTATGAGGAAGTTATGACTTCTCAAAGTTTCTGACCTAGCAATAAACAGGTAAAACTAGAAATAGAGATCGAGTGGTCTTTAGCCGACACAACCTAAATTAAAGTTGAAGCCCCCGACAATAGGAGTACAACAGTAAAAAGTCTGACGAAAATAAACAACATATGAAGGAGTTATGGGATTTAAACGAACTTTTCCAGGCCCGACCTGTTAAAAGAATATAATAAAAAAGTAAATTCAAAATTAGCCAATGGAGTCTAAACGAGAGTTGTAGAGCCTTTTCACATCTACGCGTACTTATAAAGAACGTCGAAATCGGAGCTCGTATGCGAATGTTACGGGTTTTACAAGTTTGGGACACAAAACTCGAGGCTGACTTAGCCTCACGACGTGAGGGAACCATGCTCACGACGTGATCTCGTGATTGATGGGTTCCAGAGTGTCAGTCAGAAACGTCAACTCGTCGAAGAGGATCATGCTGACTAAGCTCACGACTTGAGCAATAAAAAAACTCACGACATGAGACCCCAAATCAGACCCTGTAAATAGAAGCTTAAGGGTGTCGGGTTTTGTGCTCACCTCTTTCCACCTAAGTACCGTTACTTTGCGTGATTACCTCGATAAGCCTTCCCGAAGCCCCGGTTTTTCATACTCGAGTTCCTAAGGAAGTTCTACACTCCCGAGATCCCCGAGAAATCTCGAGATTTCAACTTTCCCTAGGTGAAGTTCTGCTCGATTCTTCTCTCGACTACTTCAAAAACAACCACTTCAATCAAGTGAGTTCGTACCCCTTTTATACATCTTCAAAAACTTTATAATGTTCTTTAATACATTTCGGGGAAAATACAAGTTAAACACTCGGTTAATCCCGAGTGAAAACGTGAAAACTCTTGTTATACCTTGCATGCATTAGATTTATACAAAATGCATGGTATCCAGAGTAGCCATATTTGTTAAACCATTTTATGCATTCAAAGAACTTATGATTTTATGCTTTGTCAAACATTGAGAAAGAGGATAAACATTGCATACAAAACTGTCACTTTAAATACAGACTTAGACGATTACATCTTCAATGCTACCTTTTTGTTAAAAGATACTACTTAAAGTCATGTCTATTATAACCAAAGTCTCCCATTGGAGAGCATGTCAAAATGTGTATAGATCTATACGGGAATTCATGATCTCGCGCCATGACTGTTAGCTACAGTCCTTTGGGTGATAGTTTTTCATAACGTTTCGACGCCTGAAGACCGTCGCCACAGGCATATTATGTTTAGTATGGTTATAAAAACTCACCGGATAGATAATTATTATGGTAGTCTGATTTTATGA